ATAAATTTTTTTTAGAACAATTTAGAGTTGATACAATTAGATTTAAAAGATAAGAAAATGAGTTAAGAAGTTAATTAAAAAAAATTATTTAGAGTTCCAAGATAATAATAATTAATAAAGATTTAGAATTAATACAATTAGATTTAAAAAGGCTAATAAGATGAGTATGTTTTAAAAAATAACACAATTAATACTCGAGAGTTTCAGAGTAATTTCATGTTTTAATAAAACCACGATGGAAAATATGACACTTAATACACTTTAATAAGTATGTCACGTTAATAAGTAAATTTAAATGTGTTATTCCTAAACGTAAAAAGATTCATATGTTAAAGACATAAATTGTGTCGGTTTTAACCCACAAAATTTATGGAATAAAATTTTTTAATAGTGTATTGGACAATTCACATACAAATTATCAAAATTCTCAATGCACATAATATCTACATGACACTAATTATTTAAAATCAAAATTCAATATTTATTTCAGATGCTTGTGGTGGAATTTTCGATTCGGCCAATGGTACCATAACGTCACCATCTTTTCCAGAAATGTACCCATCAAGCAAAAGTTGTGCTTGGGAAATTTTAGCACCACCTCAATATAGGATTACACTGAATTTTACGCATTTTGATTTGGAGGGGAATAACGTGTACCAGCAGGTAAATATAAAAATATCTAGTATTTTCATAAACCAAGTTTCAGAGTAATAAACGCTTCATTTCCATCCTATTATATAAATTGGACATATTTTTTTCAGCCAGATATAAATATCTAGTATCGAAGATCCTAGTGTTCCTAAGAAGTCTCCCATCTCAGTACTATCCATATGACTTATATCTTGAAATTTTTTTTCCCAGGAATGCGAATACGACAGTTTAACTGTACACAGCAAAATGGGTGAAGACATTTACAAAAAACATGGAATTTTTTGCGGATCTCGAATGCCACCGATGGTGACATCAGAAAAAAATGCCATGAGAATCGAATTCACATCTGACAATAGTGTGCAAAAATCAGGATTTGCTGCTGTCTTCTTCACAGGTAAAATAATGGTCACATATATGTACAAAATTCAATTTTACCAAAAGTTGTCATTATTATTTTTTTAATTAGATAAGGATGAGTGTGCGACCAACAACGGAGGATGTCAGCACGAATGTAGAAATACAGTAGGATCTTATGTTTGCTCCTGTCATAATGGATTTACTCTTCATGATAATAGACATGATTGCAAGGAAGGAGGTTGTAAATATGAAATTACTGCACCAACAGGCAACATTTATAGGTAAAAAAACTCTATGGAATTCAATGTAATTGATAGTTCACTACCAAATTAGAGATTGTAGTAGTTCTTAGTAGAGATTGTAATGAAACAATTATTATTTAATCTAAAAGTTGACATATTTTGAAAAGTTCAATTCTGGCCAAAGCAATTGTTTTGACTAATTTATTCCAATTGAAGATTAAATTTTGTGTTAACAATATTTTCGATTTCAGTCCAAATTATCCAGATTTGTACCCAGCTCGGAAGGACTGCGTTTGGCACTTTACAACTACACCAGGACATCGCATCAGATTGCTGTTCAATCGCTTCGAATTGGAACCTCATCAGGTAACACTAATTCATTTCTTCAGACTTATTTTATGAATTTTTAACAATTTATTTAAGTGAGTCAAATACTAATATACTTAATCCAGAATAATAAATAAGAGTAATAGAGAAGAGTCTATTTCTCTAGAGTCTATCTATTTTTTGTTTCTTTACAAATTTGATTTTTTTTTTCAGGAATGTGCATATGACCATGTCGCTATCTACGATGGACCAGGACCTGATAGTACAACCTTAGGAAGATTTTGTGGATCCAAATTACCACATGCTGTGTTAGCAAATTCTAATCAAATGTACATGGTATTTAAATCGGATCAGTCTGTCCAAAGGGTTGGATTCTCTGCTACACATTCCACAGGTAATTATTTTATTTAGACTAGTTGTAAGTGGCATTTTGCCTTAAGACAAGTTACATGAACTTGTGTAAATAATCGACTTAATCGGTAAAAAATTAATATAATAATTTTTAAGTGATTTATAAGTATACCGAGCCAATTTTGAACAAAATTTTTATTACACATTTTTGAAAAACAAACACGTTCCAAATACATATACGGAGTGTTTAGAAAAAGCGAGGCCAAATTTTCCAAATTTTAATGAATTTTTATAATTAAACCATTATTCGTAGAACTATAATATTTTAGTATGTTCATAAAGACCAGGTACTCTATCTCTATATAAAGATTCATTAAAATAGTCAATATATTCTTTTCAATAACCAACAATGTTTAAAACTAATGAGCACAATTTCCCAATAATATATTTCAAATAGTTTTTAAATTTTCAAAATCGATTCAGATTTTTTGGTTAAAACGTGGACGAAAATTCTTGCATATTTGTGCTACATCGAAAGAACCGGCTTAGCTGATCGTAAAAAAAACTAGCCAATGCGAGTGCTTCTGAAGTTTCATCGAATGGTTTTTAAAATTTTGAAATCGATTCAGCAGCTTTTGAGAAATGACTAATTTTGACTGACTCTGTTCATTTTTTCAAACTTTGATGAATTTTTAAAATTAAACGACTTGTAGTAAGATCGTAATATTTTAGTATGTTCTATAGGACCATAATGTCTATCGCCAAAAAAAGTTTAATAAAAATCGTCGAAAAAAAAATCAACAGTTAATTACATAAAAACGGCCCGGCAAAACATTACCAGAAATTAATCAGTATGATTCCCAACCAACATCTTACGAACGGTTTTTGAATTTTCAAAATCGATTCAGAATTGCGGGCCAAAACGTGGACGAATTTTTTTTTAGCAAATCGCAAAGAAACGGCTTGGCTGATAGTCGCGCAAAATTGATAAACACTAGTCCTCATTAAGATGTATCGAATGGCTTTTACATTTTTTAAATCAGTCCAGCCGTTTTTGAGAAAACGTCGATTTACGGCAAAAAATCTGTTCACACACACATACTTTTTCCAAATTTGGTCTCATTCGATTCGAAAGGCTTAAAACGTCGAGAAAATATAAAATTAGCAATTCGCATTCTTTACCAAAAACTCTCTCAAACTCTCTCAAAATTAATTTCAGAAATAGTTAACATCCAAATTTGAATACTATAGCATTCATTTCATTCTTTATTACATTGAAAATGAATGAACATTTTTCAAATTTGGTCTCAATCGATTCAGAATGACTTGAAACGTCAAGAAAACATAAAACTAAGCTATTATTACTTCTGAAATTTAATAAAAAAATTATATTTCCAGCTTGCGGCGGGCATTTACAAGTGACATCTGAAGTAAAACATCTTTACTCTCACGCCAAGTACGGTGACCACGACTACGCAAATAGAGCAGATTGCGAATGGACTTTAGAAGCACCCATTGGCAAAAGTGTGCAACTAAATTTCTTACGTTTCGATTTGGAAGACGAACGCCAATGTGCTTATGACTTTGTTGAAGTTTTTAATGGATTGGACGATAATGCTGCATCATCATTTGGAAAATTCTGCGGCAAACGGTAAGCAATGATAAATGAAAATTTAACACAATCTAAGCGGGGCGGGTAAAAATACCCGTTGGAATGTTCAAATAACTTCAAATTTTCATTTCATATTTTCTTATTTTTTTTACAGACTCCATCAGAAATAATTTCAGGAAATGAAGCCCTCCTAATTCGTTTCCATACAGACGACACAATGGTTCTCAAAGGTTTCTCAGCTTCTTACGTTGCAGTTGAACCGGTCGGTGGAATTTTCACCGACGAATATGCAACATCAAGAAGTTACAATGAAATATTAATAGTAACAACAACAATCATCATACAATAACATTGAAGAA